TTTCCTTCAAATTCCATCTTGGCTGTTTGATACCCCCGGGGTGGTTGCGCTTGATGTGAAGGTTGACAAGGTGTCTACCTGTCTAACACCCTTCGCCTCGATTGCTGGCTCCGGCAGACTGTGATTCATTGCTAGGGAGGACGTGGTGCACGCTCCTCGTAGCCGTGTTGGGCTCAAAGAGTGGTTCCATTCTGTGTGGAGCGCACTATGGCCCAGCTACCACTTTGTGTACGTCTGGTACGCATGATTCCCAATTTAGATAAGCTTTTGTGTATGTTGAAGGATTGTGGGCCGGCTTCGTTGCTGAAACGTGGTTCCCATCCACATGCCTCCCGGTCTTATTCCTTCGCGTTTACACTGAATATGGGGTGTGTAGATGGAGCTGTGGGTGGTGCAGCGCAAACCACCCATGGTCCCTCTATAGGTGCATGCGTCCTGTGACTGTCTCATGGAGACCGCAGTGACAGGCAAATCCAGAATCGGGTGCCGCCAACCAGGTGCATCTGTGTATGCCTGTGTTGCTTGGGTTCATAACTTTGTAGTTACACTTTTGACTGTGTTTGATTGCCTCCCCAGTGTCAGGAGGGATATTTAAAATCTGTGGATTGGACACGATTTCCAGGATAAGCGTAAGGTACTGACTTGACTTGGTGGCGATTCACTACCGCCACGTCGCAGTGTTGTTAGACAGACATTTGTGACTTTTTATAGGAAGATGGCTTGTCAGGCAACAATCCACCACTTCCTGAAACACTGCCGCCGAACTTTTTACTGGGGCGGGGTAAACCCGAACCACCCAACTGGCACCACGAGGGGGTTGTTTGGCTAACCAGCTGCAACATGGTTGTTGTGGCCTTCTATGTATCGCGGCCTCAAAGCCCAAGCACCCGCGTCAAAACAGAGGTTGAAAAACTTCGAGAATGGCACCGTCTTGCGAAAGGACAACGAGGTACATTGAATACTATTCCATTGGCTTTTAAAGTCTATCCATTAAATATCCTTTAAACCGAAAATGGGGCAAATGTCATTGGTTGAGCCACAGTCACGATCATGAAACAAACGAATCACCTTTGAGGCGGAATGCTTTACATTCTATCCGACTGATCTCGTTGGATCTGCATCCTCTAATAACTACCACTTTTGAATGACTCGCATAGGTTTCCAGCTTGGGTACACCTCCATCGGAACCACCGGCTTCTGGCGCCGATTCGTCCATCTCCCTAGTGCTAATTCCGGCCTAGATGTAGCACGCGCAGTCTCCTGCTCGGATTTGGGGTCTTCTGGGCTGATACGGAATGTGTCGAGCAGCAAGTCTAACGCCAACATGCTGCATGTTGGCGAATCATCCGGAAAATGAACGGGAAACTAACTGATTGGCGCTGGACCCATACCTCAGAATTAACAAACGTCATGCATGCTACTTCCATTTCGATGAATGACCTGTCCTGAAGTCCAGCTATAACCTAGTTATTGCGATAATCCTTTGCCAGCACAGCCTGCCCTTTGAAGAAAATGCAGTTCAGAGCACCGTGTCTCCTGTTGAACTGCTGTTCTATGTTGCAATTTCCTTTCAGACTGTCCAGATGGTTTAAGCAAATCAAAGCTGGATTACAGTTTCCGTTGCATCAGTGTTTCAGCCGGAGAGTTACCTTGAGGCACCTGCGGATTTGGAATTGTCCTCTGAGCAAAAGGAGAAGTCATAAGGATCTCGACCGTCGATCCCTCCCCTCTCTTGAAGATGCCCACGAATCCCTGTTCGACTGTGGATGCTATGGATGTGACCTAGTGTGGGTTATACCGTTTTTGTTGCAAAGTCCTCGAAAATCGCTGAAGTGAGCTGAGTTCCGTTGTCAGTCACTAATGTGTCCGGATACCCGGAGCGAATGAAAACCTGACGAAATGCAGTAACGGTCGCTGGAGCAGTAGTCGGACATCTGCATTACCTCTGGTAACTTACTGTAGGCATCAACGAGGATAAGGAAATTTTTTCCTTTTATAGGTCCTGCATAATCGGCATTGAGCCTTGATCATGCTTTCCCAGGATCCGAGCGACAATGAAGTTCTACCTCCTTTGGTTACTTCGAAACAGGAGCGGGCAAGTTCTTCGACTTGTGCATCAAGATGAGGCCAGTACACGTAGCTACTGGCCAATGCATTCATATGCTTTATTCCCGGGTGTCCATTGTGGAACTGCTTCGGAACCCTCGGCTGAAGTTTCTTGGGAACCACTACTCGTTCTGCAAAAGTAGACATCCGTCAACAATTGATAAGGAATTGCGACGTTGATGAAACTGCTTCAGTTCATTGTCTTCAATCTTCTGTGGCCATTTTGATCAGTGAAAGCGGAGCACTTGCTGCAGAAGGGTCATATTCTGTTGCGACACGTAACTGAGAAGCTGTTACTGGTATGGCTTTAGTTGCATCTGCGACAACGCGACGAACTTCAGGCTCGATCGAACTGCTTACCACTACGACGTCCTCCGGCTCCTGTCTATCTTTGTCCATGAAGCGTGATAAAGCATCAGCCTGACCAATGTTCCCAGTCGCTTGGTAATTGATTTCGAAAGCATATCCTAAAGGCATTGTAGCCCACCTCTGAAAGCGATTTGCTGAGTACACGGAAATTCCCTTCTTGAAGCCGTAGAAAGCAAGCAGGGGCTTGTGCTCCGTGACTAGATTAAAATGCCGACCATAAAACATTTTGTGAAATTTCTTAATAGTGTACAGAATCGCCAATGCTTCTTTTTCAATTTGGCTATAGTTGCGTTCTACGGGTGGCATAAGCAATTGCCTTCTCTTTTCCGTCAGGAAAGCAGTGAGATGTAACCGCACCGACTCCGTAATTAGACGCATCTGTGGCAACAATGATATCCAACTTCAGATCCTAATGGGTCAACATCAGATCTGACAATAGCGTGGCTTTGATCCTGTCAGAAGCCTGACTGCATCCGTACTCCAACACCACTCGGAATCTGAGAAGTAATGCGTTCAGTGGACCCCGTATATCACACATTGCTGACAAAAATGTGTTGTAGTGACGCACCAATCCCGAGAAGGATCCTTACGTCACATCATGTGGTGAAAGCATTTTCTGGATGGCCGTGTTGATCAATGACGAATCTCAAGTATTTTACCGAATCGGTGTAGAAAACACACTTTTCTTCTCTCAGGTGAAAGCCATAATGTTGAATTCGACTAAGCACATTTTCAATCCGGTTCTCTAGATTCGCCGGATCAGTGCCCATGATAATGATATCCTCATGCTGAAACAGATGGAACGTCCTGTAACATGGTATCGATGATCTGTTGAAAAATGGCAAACGCCGTTTTTACTCCTAATAGTAGATAACTGTATCGAAACAGACCGCAGTGAGTATTGCTTGTCAGCAGCTCTTGTGAATCCTCAAAACCTTTCACTTGAAGCTATGTGTCCGACAAGTTCAGTTTGGCGAGATATTTCCAACCATTTAGCTTTGCGAACAAATCATTCGGCAGAGGCGGCGGATATTCGTGACTTTCCAGAGCAGCACACCGACCAGTGGAGAAATCTGCACAAATTCGAACTTTTCCATTTGATTTCTTGACCACCACAATTGGAGCAACCCATGATGAGTAATTCACAGGCTGTGGGATGCCCGCCTGATGCATTCTCTCCAATTCCTGATCAGCGCTTGCTAACACCGTATACGGTACTAGACATTTGGGTTGGAAGACGTATTTTGCGTCGGAACAGAGGGACAATCCAGTCCTGGTTTTCGTGTAACAACCAAGCTCATCCCGGAATACTTGAGCGAATTTATGGCGCAAACGCTCTGACAGCACATTACTGAGAGGAGTGATCACCGACTGAACACATAATTGATTACACACAGAACCAAGTGGAACATCCATGAGCCTGAGTTTTGCGATCCAATTAAAGCCCGGAACGTTCAGATTTGGTCAATTAGTACGGTAACACACGGCACATAATTGCACATTATGGAAAAACAGAGAACACATAAATTCACCTGTGAGTTTCAGGACTCCACCGGAAGTATCCAGAGCTGTCCGATTTGTCGGCTTTAGAGGAGGTTGACCGATCAACTTTCATGTGCTTTGTGACAATAGTGATCTCACATGCTGTATCAAGCTGAAGACGCACAAAAGTTGTTGCTATGCACAGTCACATATATACACCGGTGTTTTGCGTCCGTGTCGAATGTAGACATAACAGGATTTATTTTTTACATATATTTTTGTCTGGTTTTTAAGAACGCTGGACTGAATCTTCGGAAGTGTTCCATTGTTTGTGCGGCAGTGATCCTCTTTGTGTCCTCAGTTGTGACATTTCTGACGGCGGTGCTTCTTAAATGGACACAGCCGGACATAGTGCCAAACTGCCAGCAGGCTGTTGGGGATTTGTTGACGGTGCCGCATCTAGAGGAGTTAGTGGGCTTTGCTGGGATGCTTTTTGTCACAGTGTACACGTTACTGGAGCCATGAACTGTTTCCCGTCCATTCATGGTAGTATCGTGTTTCAGGTTCAACAAACGGAGGTATTCTGAAATAACTGATTTCAGATTCATGCTGGAATCCTGCTCCATCTTACAGAGTAAGCGTGTACGAATCCCTGAGTATCCAGGCGATTGAACGCCACAAACATGTACCAGGCACTTGAATTGGTCTTCCGTCATTTCCTTGAGCTTAAAGCACACACTGACCGTTAACGGTGGCCGCATAAGATACAAAATCATCCCAGCCACTTTTCACAAGTTTGGAACAAGAGTACCGTACGTTAAAAATAGAGGGCGCTGCCCCAACGATTTCTTCCAACAGTTCAACAATTTCTCGTTGCTTGTCATGCGCCTTGGGTTTTATGTGTCGCTGTACACGCCGTGGCGTTATCTTAATTGTATTTCTGATCATCGTGCCGATAATTGTTCCTTTGTTTGTCAGCTTGCATCACCTCGTTAGTTTTCAATATTATTTATTGATCCTGCGGATGCTTTCCCCTCTTCTAGTCTTCGGCAGTTGGAAGCTCAGGATTTAGATGAACTGCAGCGTAGTCAGCTGAGCGCCTTTGTTGCGGAGAAGCAGAAGATTGGTGAACTGAAACCAGAAGATTTCGAAAAAATAAAAGAACTCGGCAAGGGCAACGGCGGTGTTGTCAGTCAGGTGCGCCACAAGACCACGGGCCTCATTATGGCCAAAAAGAATATTCACTTAGAAATAAAGCCAGCGGTTCGATCTCAGATTATTCGCGAGCTTCAGGTATGTTTTTTATATGGTTGTCCCCTTACTCCCATTCCTTCGCCTTGCTTCGCACACCTCAGCTTTTCGCTTTGGCATTGTTTGGAATCGGTGCTTAGTATTTACCGTCTCTTCCGAATCATGTTTCTTTTGTCTTCCTGCATTTTGACTCCAAATACACTCACTGGGACTGAAAAGCGTCGAATAGTCACAGCTTGATGGGAGAAAAATCATACAGCCTGCGATTGGGATGTCTTCACAACTATCATCCTGCCTACTTTATGACACTGTCTGGTACCCCACCTATCTCACCGAACCGTTGGGTCAACTTTTCATCCATGAGTTACATGCTATCCCATCCAGCACTATATCTACTTCTACCACACGTTCGAAATTTAAACTTTTATATTCTCGTACCTCGTATCGAAACCCCCATCCTGCTTTATCTATCACGCTTACGAGTCGACCCATCAGGAATGAAACACCGCTTACGTAACCGTATGCTTGATTGAAGATGCACCTTTTTCGTTTTGCTGCTGTCCATTTTACTTTCTCATCGATGCCTTGTGTTTTATTCCGCAGTGTTAGTGTGCAGTGCTAAAAATGCAACTACACAGATGTATAGAGCTTATTTTGACCTGATTTGATTTGAATTTTTGTGTGTAACATCACTGGAACCTGGTTATAGTACTTGCAATAGTTCTTCCAGATCGAAAGCGGGACCTCTTACCGCTGTCGATTTACTGATATGCTCCGTCGGTGTATATTTACAACATCCTGTGTTCCGCATGATGCTACATCATGCTTCGTGGGTGATACCTATCATCTCACCCTCTCAATACTATCACGTTCACCTGATTTCCCCGAGTGTGACCTAAAGTTTGCTGACTCCTGATTAACAAACCGAAACTCTGTTACCTACCGGCTCCCTCATGCCTCGGTCCTATTTCACCTCACTCCCACATCAATGGCGTTGACGGGATGATCACCGCCAGTTCTACTGTCCGCGAACCAATAGATATATATGTATATATCTATTCACAGTCGGTTAACGGACATTGTGCCATCAGAACCATAGCAGAAGAAGAAAATGACGGAGATAGAAACACAAAATGGGATTAAAAAATGGAAATCGTTTTTTTTTGGTTTTACACACGCCATTTTGATTTGTTTTTGTTTTTGTTCCGTGAGCTTTCTGTGTGCATTAAAGGGGAGAAAAATGGCAGAACAACATTGATGCCACTAATGTCTGTTGCGGACCATGACATCCAATGTTTCCAACCACTGAGATTCAGCATCTCGTGGTCCCTAACCTGGAAGACGGATTGGTTCGACTGCCGCCAAACTTGAGGTTGTCTTCTTCATCCTCCTTCTCCACGTCATTAGCTGTCCACCGCGGCACTTTTTCCAATCGCTCCCTAGAGTGCCAATAGCGCTCGACGTGGAAGGCGATGGGCTGACATGCACAAAATGTGCCCGAGCCAATGCATGCGTTGTCGGAGAATAACCTTTGGAAGACTAGCACTACTCGCTCCAAGCACGCGGTCTCGCATATCCGCGTTGCTTACGTGGTGTTGCCACCACAACCGAGCAAATCTTCCTAGACAGCGATTGTCAAAGACTGACAACCGCTTCATGTCTTCCTAGCGAATAGGCCAAATCTCACAGCCGTACAAGAGTACTGCACCGACGGAAGCATTGTACACCCTGTCCCTTAAGCTTGAGACTGACATCACGACGACGCCATAGGTGTCTCAGTTTGCTGAATGCAAGCCGGGCCTCTGCAATCCGTTGTGAGGCTTCATCTTCAACACCACCACCAGCCGTGATGCAACTCCCTAGATAAGTAAAGCAAAGAACTTGCTCCAGAACATGTCCAGCAATGGTGAACGCGGGTTCAGACACCTGCCAGTGCTAGAGCAGCGTTTTACATTTTCCCGGAGTGAAGCATAAGCCGTACTTAGACGCCTCCATCGCTAAGCGGTCCAAAGTGCTCTTGTCAGGTTGTGGGTCGTCCCTCACCAAGGCGATATCATCGGCGTAGTCCAATTCCGTGCTTGTCTCCAGGGAGGAGCTCAACACCGCAGTTCTGGATACCTTCCAGTACTCTGGACGACATCCTGGATGGCGAGATTGTAAAGGAAAGGTTAAATAGGGCAACCTTGGCGAACACCGCTGGTCACAGCAAACGAAGAAGAGAGCGTACGGTAAGCCCTGACTTTGCCCGACGTGTAACTGTAAAGTTCTTTCAGGATGGTTACAAACTTGTTGGGCACACCTTTCTTCAGTAAACAGTTCCACAACGCAGATCTATCTACGATTGTTGGCCGCCGGTGGATGTGACGAAGTTCGAGAAGTTGGCATAGCGTGAAGATTTGGTCGATGCTGCCGCCTCCTGGACGAAATCCGGCTTGTTCTTCTGGGAAATACTCCTCTCTAGTCGTTGAAAGCCTGTGAAGTAGGACCGATACGAAGATTCTGGATGCGATAGAGATTAACGATATTCCGCGGTAGTTACAGCAATCGTCGCGAGAGCATTCCTTGTGAATGGGAACAATGACCGATTCTCCCCATGAGTTCGGAACCTTCTCCTCAGTCCGAACTTTCGTGAACAGCGATATGATTTCGCTGACAAGTACACTCCCGCTATCTTTGAATAGAGCCGGTGGTAGACTGTCGGAACCCGGAGCCTTGTGGCGTTTCAAAGATCGGATTGCATCTCGGATCTCTGCTTCTTTTGGGGGCCTTGTGGAGACAGGCCAAGCATCATCCATTGGGGCTGGAGGTGCCACAGGGGGCTGTGTTGAGTGGTTGAATTGAAGAGCGAAAAGCTCTGCCCAACGACCCAATCGCCTGTGAAGGTGGCGTCTGATTCGCAAGTCGTCTGGCTGATAGCGTGGGAATTGCAAGCGGTAGCCCTGATAATGCAAAATAGACGGCGGAAGTTGCCAGCTGATGCAGCGGCTTCCGTCTCATCAACTTGTTTTGATCACCAGGATTCACGACCAGAGCGAAGGCTTGCTTTCAGCTGTTGCGTAATAGACCGGCGGTGTACGTTGTACTCTGTGCCAGCAGGAACCGCCCATCGGCGCTCCAACAATTCCGATGGTCTTCCCGAGATCCAGCTTTTGGGACTGGAGCGAACGAGATCACAGCTGGACAAACCGGCCGACAGCAAGGTTTGTTGCAGACTTGACCAGTGTGGATCAACATCCAGAGTTGGAGAGAGCGAGATTTTCACGAAACCGTTGTCAATACTCCTTCACCATTGGGTCCTCCAACTTGTAGGTGTTCAGTCAGGTGTGTTTGGACCTAGATGAACCACCGAAACACATGCAAACGGTCGCACATACCAGTGCATGCTCGGTATCGACACATGTTGACCAAAATGATCGACAGTCCCGTACGCTGCCGTGCCACCTGCGGCTTATGGCTATGTGGTCAATCTGTGACCAGCGCTGGGTTGATGATGGAGGGCGCCAAGTGGCTTACTGGCATCCAGACTGACGAAAGCTGGTGCTGGAGAGGAAAAGATGTTGATCAGCATACAGACTGAGCAATCTCTCTCCGTTGTCTGAGCGATCATCATCGTATCCATGCGGTCCCCCGAGGCGGCGCTCACATGGCACCAGCCGACCTACATGCGCGTTGAAGTCTCCTGCCAAAACTATGGTGTCTTTTTTAGGTGCCCATAGAAGCAGCTCATGAAGGTTCTGGTCGAACTGGTCTTTGACTGTGTCCGAGCTACAGTCAGTGGCCGCGTAGGCAGAGATTACGAAGAGAGCACGCTTTTCGACTCGACGTCTGCTAACTTTACACGAGCCATGCAGCCTCATCCCACAAAGGCGATTATTGATTAGAATCCACACAATCAGAGCAGTCTCAGCTCTAGCACTGAGAGCGATTCCAACACCACCTTGTCCAGATGCGGCAGACTCGGCGTCACCAGAGAGGCGGAGATGGGAGCGGGTGTGTGGGTGAAGCAGTGACGCCAGCTGGTAGACCGAGTTATTCATTCATTCAGCAGATATCAATTCCAAGGGTCTCTAGTGTGCGTGCAAATCCAGCTTGCTGACCGATCTGCAGTAATGTGCTTACGTTGAAGGCTGTAAGTTCGAACTGCGTTCCGGGTTGCAGGAGCAAAGATGGGAGAGTTTGGGACTGGTAGCTCTCTGTTGAGCACTGTGGGGTTGAGTTGGCAGATGTCACGGGAACAGGTTCGTCGGTGGAGGTGAGGTTGATCGCTATATAGGAATTAGGTAAAAATGGGTGTGAATGGTACAAGGGAAGGGTGGATAACATGGTGGCGTGTGCTTGTGAAGTTGGCATAGTGACATGAGTGAATAGCATTGTAGCAGCAAGAGAGTGGGTGAATGGTTGTGGTTGTAAGTCTATGGTTCGTCAGTAGGCGAGATACTGCAACACTTGATGCGCTTCGCTAGAAATCTTCCGTTTTTCTCACTTGAACTCCTGTTTGCTTTGCATTTGCGGTATGACCTTAGTAATAGCCCTTACTCACCAGTGCCAGTAACCGCTTTGGTGCTCTTCACTGCGTGCGAATGCTACCATAAGCTTGCGTTGTGTGGTCATCATTTTATTGTGTAATATGGTTCATATTTGCTACCATAATCGGCGGACTCCTGTCACTGCTCTCATTGGCGCGTGAGAAATACAGCTCACCAAATTTTTCATCCCCATACTGTCTACATGTGCTACCAGTTTGATCTTTCGCTAGCTCTTCCTCACACCTGGTTCATTACATGCTTTCTATGCATTCTTTCTCCGATTTTATCCAGGTATTGCATGACTGCAATTCGCCCTACATCGTTGGGTATTACGGTGCTTTCTTTGCTGACGGGGACATTAGTCTGTGTATGGAGTATATGAATGGAGGCAGCTTGGACATTGTGTTGCAACACGCTGGCCGCATCCCGGAACCGATTGTGGCGAAAATACTCTACTCCGTTCTGAAGGGCTTGGTTTATCTCGGCCAAGCCCTACACATAATACACCGGTAAGTAGGCGTTCTGTTGGGAAAGTTTTGCGCTCAGAATGAAACCGTTGTGACTGTTGTCCTTTTGGTGTAGCAGTGAATTCGCGATTGTTTCAACCTCAACCCATTGAACATCGCCCCAACTGTACGCTCGTGAGGCAGCTCTTACTAAAGATGAAATGTCTATACGCAGCCGAATCAGTAGACATTCAACACCATTATCTTTTTACAGACTATCCCCTTCATTACGTGTCTTTGATTCCGAACGCTTTCAGGGTGCCAATTTGCCATATTTACACCTCTCCTGTGTATGCTATGTTCTGCATCCATCACTGCCCTCTATCAAAGTGGGCGACACCATCATCAACAATCTTTTCTGTCTTTTTGTTTCTCTTTACTAATGTCCTCTTAATAGCGGCTGCCCGCTTCATCAACTACATTAACAAAGAGACCTGTTGATCTTTCGATCTTGCGGTATCACTCCACAGCACATCTTTCATTGTTCGCCCACAATGTGGTACCAACCAACAGGTGACATTCGCCACGATGTCACACTCCTTCGGAATCACTCTGATGCCTCTGCGCTTAACTGTCTCGAGTCTCAATTACCAGGGTTGCACACTTCGCTTCTGCACTAAGAGAGCTCAGCACGATGCTCACTTCAAATTGAACTGAAGTTACTGCTTCAGTATCTTCGGATGCGTGTAATCAACAGCTGATGGTAAGCTGGGCTCAGTTAGTTCAACAGCCGCATCAAACTCGTGCCCTATGGCACCGATGACATCCAGTGTGACCAAGGATCGACAGACCATCAATAGACACCCCACTATGGCTAAGCGATCATGTTACCAGAAGGAACACAATGAAACAGTGCATACCATCAAACATAACAACATCCAGACAGATCTGATTGCGATGGTCGGTGGTCAATAGTATATGGTTGCGAAAAAAAGCCGAAGCTTGACATGTCCCACCGGGTGATCGGCTAGGAGTGAGCACAATGAAGGGAAAAAATGGCAACAAGCGGTAGTGAATAACCACAAGTTACTAACTTGCCTATTACAACGTTTCCCGTATGAGTAGTTCACACTTGATTTTATCTATTAGCCAAAGTTATCGTCTGTGGTTTCCAGGCAAAAATGGAAATGGGTTTGTTTGCTTTTGTTTTCCTGATGTTTGTGTGATATAGTGTTGTATGGCCAATGCACCGTGAACGTGGGCTTAGAACACGGCTAACTTGGGGGCTGAAATAACACCTTCCATGTGTGGTAAACATGCAGCGAGATGTTTCTTCGACACTCCAACAGACTGTATTGTTCTTTTGTTGTGAATCAGCTTCAGCACGTGATGGCACGGGTGATTAGGGTTGTTTAGAATTTGGTAAACCTGGATTAGTTCACAGCGCAAATGCCAACATCATCCGCTGAAAATGCCAAGCTCTCTGAGGTATTGTTCGTATGACAAGTGCAGCAGACGCTTGACAGTTTTGGTCGCCTGAAGTTACGGAATCTCAGAGGCAGAGAGATCTTGCTTTAGCTATGGGTGCATGCTTGGACTGCATACTTTACGTGTAGGTGTATTTAAGCAGGAAGTAGTTGTCGGAAAATAGATACTTCGAAATTTCCGAAAGCTCTCCATAGAAGCCCCACAAGTTGGATCCCCTTCGATGCCTTTTCTGACTGCTCCCAACGGTTGAGAGCTTCCTTATCAACGCACTGAGATCCTTTTCGTGAGAACTGTGCTTCAGATCCTGGTCCCTCAGCTTATATGTGTGAACCATTCGATGTCGTACATGGAGCACTCGACATGTCTACATTGAAGAAGAGGCGACTTCGGATCGACCATCCATACATCTTGTCCAGGTCGTTTTGAAGCTGGATACGGTCTTCTGGAGCTCTGATCGCTCAGTTGATGTCATCGGCGTAGAGCAACCATTTTGAGGTGAGTTGCTCACCAGTTCATTAATGAAGACCAAGTTGGGGCTCCAGTACCGAACCTGTGGCACACCGCATTCGACGTGAATTCGGTATAACATGGATTCACGTACTCTCACCTCTAGATGTCTGCGCGAGAGAAAATTGCAGGTGCAGGGTTCCCAATACCACATCCTTGGAGTTTTACGAGAAGGATACGACGGTCCGACCGGTCTAATGTCTTGGCGAAGTCAAGTTGAACCACGTCAACTCCTGCACCAACATCTACCGTTTCGGTCCAGCTGTCTCATGTTAATAATAGGTTGGTGGTGTGTGACAAATTCTGGCGGAAGCCGTTTTGCCTCTGAACAATGTGACCAAAGCCGTCCAGATAAGACATGAGTGCGTCGGCAGTGCTAACCTCTATAACTTTTGAAAGAGCTGGCAGTAGAGTCACTGGTCGATAATTAGCTGGGTCGGAACGACTACTCTCTTTGTAAATGAGAGTTATTATCCCGTGTTTCCACATTGCAGGAACCCGAGTCTCGTCGAGACAATCCTGTACTAACCGCTCCAAGGGTTCAGCCAAAACATTAGCCGCCACAACAAGCATCTTTAAGCGGAAGGCGTCAATTCCGGGACAGGCGTGCAGGCGCATGGATAGCAGCTTTTTCCTCACGGTGTCTGCCGTAAAACTCATATGTGTGCGTCCTGGTGCATGCACCGTAGTTTCCCAAGGTTCAGGGGACCAGGGAGCACAATGAAACCTTGGTGCATATTGTTATTGCAGGACATTCGTCGCTTCTTTGACAGTCCGAGTCAGACCATCCGCTGTTTGTGGAGGCTTGCTTGTGCAGAAGCGTATGATTTGAAGTAAATCGCTTGGCTAAAGCATTTTGATAAGCTACTTTGTCCTCGCACACTAATTGGGTAGAGTGGTTACGGTGGACAACATAGACCTTCCAGGTACTCGGACTCGGATCGGTTTTGTGGGCAAACCACGTTGCGTTACGTATCATTATGCATTTGCGTGTCCTACTCCGTATAAACGACGCCATGTTTATCGAACTGATAGCCTTGGTTTCCGATGCTCCACTAACCAAGGTGTTACTATCCGGGAATCAGATAAAAACATAAAAGAAAAAAGGGAAAGTATATAATGGTGACTGAAAGCTGGGCTAAAGAGAATCGCCTACCCCGTGCGGTCGATCAGGCAATCGATCGAGCGGACGAATGCATTTTCAAACACTCGGTTAATTGGACTTTTGCCTCAGAGTTGAGAGGACGGTGTTTTCCGCGGCATTTTCTGGCTACGTTGGCAGAGTTTTGTTAACACGTTTTTCCTGGTCAAGGCTGTTGGAATTTTGATTTTTCTTCGGCTGGGCTAGAATTGCTGCGGAGAAATTCCTGGGTGGTTAATTCGGAATAGCGAAAAGGGGAAGATCTAACAATGGCGACGGACAAGCACGGAAATGTTACAAATTTTTCTGCCGAACATTTTCAAAAGCTGCTTCTTCAGCAACAATCCCAGATGGAAGCACAAATGAAACTGATTGAAAGTTTAACGCAGTGCTCAAACGTACAATCAAACGGAGCAGCTACACGGGACACGCAGGCTGTTTCACTTGATCTTCTTACGAATTCAATCACTGAATTTCATTCTGATGCTGATTCCGAATCCACTTTCGAGGCGTGGTTCAAACGTTGGGAGGATATGTTCCAGACGGATTACAGCCGTCAAGATGATTCATGGAAAGTGCGCCTTTTGCTCCGCAAGCTGGGAACTAATGAACATACAAGATTCCTTGACCACATATTGCCCAAAGAGCCGAAGGACATCACTTTTAACGAAGCAGTGGCAACACTCAAAGAAATTTTTGGTGAGTCGACATCATTGTTTAGCATTCGCTATCAATGTCTAAAAATTGTAAAGCGTGATACAGACGATTATGGGGCACTAGCAGATATGGTTAACCGCGAATGTGAACGTTTCAAGTTACGCTGTTTGACGGATGACCAGTTTAAGTGTCTTATATTTGTCAGTGCTTTACAGTCTCCACGCGACGCGGAAATCCGCACTCGGCTCCTTGCTAAGTTGGATAAAGACCCAGATTTGACATTGAAGTCTCTTGTAGGCGAATGCAAACGGTTAATTACCTTGAAACACGACACGGCTATGATTGAGCAGAGTCGCCCCACCATTGCCGATACTGTTCATGCTGTGCAAAAAGCAAGAAAATCTGGCTCGAATAAGTCGTTCAACAGAAAGCCGAACAAGCCGCCTACACCTTGTTGGTCATGTGGTGAATGGCATTTCGCACGATACTGTCCATTCAAGCGTCATATTTGTGATAAGTGCCATAAACGCGGCCACAAGGAAGACTTTTGCCATCAGTCCCGGCCAAGAAATGTGAAGCAGTCCTACCGAAGGAAGAATTTCAGAAAACCTGATGCAGAATCACTATCGGTGATTGCTACGTTTCACAGCGATTCTAAAACACGCCGCCGATTTATCACTGTGCTTATCAACGGAATCCCAACCCGGCTAAAGTTCAGTACGGCACCAGATATAATGATCATTTCCAAGAACACTTGGAAGCACATAAAGAAGCCGAAGATGATTGCTTCCGACAAACTTGCTCTCAGTGCATCCGGTGGAGTGCTGAAGTTGGTCGGAGAAATAAATTGCAAAATTGCATTCAACGAAGTGGAAAAGGCCGGAACCTGCTACTTGTCTGATCGACCAAACTTGAACCTCCTTGGACTTGAGTGGATGGAAAAAGTACAACTGTTTGATGTTCCAAAAAGTCAAATATGCAATAGAGTACAAACCGACCCAGTACATTCATCATTGTTGATAGAATAGATGACCAGAAAGCTAAAGCAGCAGTTTGTCGCCTTGTTTGAAGATGGTCTGGGCCACTGCACTAAGTTCAAAGCAAGGTTGTGTCTTCGTGAAGGAACCCAGCCAGTCTTTAAAGCAAAAAGACCGGTACCGTATGCAGCCATGACAGCAGTTGATCAGGAGCTCGACCGACTGGAACGAGCCGGTGTCATCACACCAGTGAACTACTCTTCATGGGCTACGCCGATTGTTGCTGTGAAAAA